GGCTGCTCGAGCACTGACGCGCTCGGGGCACTGGTGCAGAAAGCACAACGTGCTGAGGTTGAAAGGCAGCCTGGCACGGGCAGGGCCGCTGGGGTTTAGATTTCCCTCCTGACAAGCCCATTTTGCCTGTTTGCAGGAGCAAGTAGGGCTGAAAAAAACCAGCAGGGTTGGAATATATAAAGTTAATAAAGTTTATGCAACACTCTCCATGCCTGAGCAGCCTCCGTGCTGTGCAAAGTAGCAGAAATGATTCTGGCTGTTAATTGAGCAAGTCTCTGGGCACAGGGGGCCTGGAAAGGGAAGGTGGGAATGTGGTTTAGGTGTGTGATAAATTCTGATCCGACGATGCTTCCTCTGAGGCTTGAGCAAGGGCCCTCAGGGGCTGCAGCTGTGCCCCAGGGAGGGGGCAGCTCCGGGTTAGAGTGTTCACAGCTGGAAAAAGCAACAGTTTGGGTTTGCCACGATGTTTGGACACGGTTGCAAGAGGAAGCCCTCATCTTGCAAAGCATTTCGCAGCCTGATCAAACAGCTGAGCAAAGATCACACATATGCACAGCCCAGGTCCCCTCCTACTACAAGAAACTAAAGACCGAAGCCGTGTCCGGCAGGTGATGGATTTATTGCATGCCAAGAAAGGGCTGGGACGTGCGTGGTGCAGGGCTGCTGCAGCTAGAAAGATATTAAATTTGCAGGTCTGGCTGCCACCAGGTGGAGCTAAAAATTAAGCAGGAGGAGAAGGGTGTGCTTGGGGTGCCCGGGGTGGTGGGGCTGGCGTGGGGAGCAGCGGTGTATGGCCGGGGTCCCTGGAGAAGCCAGAGGGGCTGGCAGAGCTGCAGGCAGCCCTCCTGCCTGCACCAGCCCCATCACGCATGTGGCCCCAAAGCAGCTCACTTGGGGGGGCAACACCATGGTGGGGGGTGTGGAGGGGTGACGTGGGGACATGGGGACATGGGCCAAGCCAGCGCTGCCCGCATCAGCTTTACCTTCCTCCTCTGCAGCTGCATTAAAAGCTGATCCACCACGTGAGTTTCTCCTCCAGCAGTCTGCTGGGTTTTGGCATTTCTCTGAGTCATTACTTGCTTTTTAAAAGTAGACACATTTAGGGGAGTCTGAGTTTTCTCACCTTCTCTCAGGATCTTAGCCTGGGCAGTACATCCCAAAATCAGGGCCACAGAGTCCAGGATCTTCTCAAAATCCATCCCGCAAAGGCAAAGCTGCCAGGGCCCCAGTCCTTTCCGACCTCCCCCCCCCGGGTGGGCATTGCAAACTTGTTGTTAAAGGCATTTGTCTGCTCTGGTTTCAGCCTGGCATGTGCCCTGTTTGCAGATTCAACTTGACCGAGTGGCATTTGAAAACAACGTCAGGCTAATGCGATGCATTTGAGCTGCACACTTTGTTTCTATTTTTAAGGTCCCACATTGGCCTTTGAAGGGTGAAGGGGAAGCAAAGCTGCTGGAGGAAAAAGAAAAATTACCCAAGCAGCAAGAGGCAAGCAGTGAAAGGAAATACTTCTCGTGCTACGAGAGCTCCTCCGAGGCGGCGGGGTGGCACAAGGGCCACTGCAAGGGCCGAGAGTGAGCGCAAAGCACCGGCTATTTTTTTGCCCAATTATGTGAGTTAATCAACAGTCAAAACGCGGTGCCTTGTCCAGCGGCACGAGGCAGCGGCGGGGGAACAGAGGAGGGGACGTCAGTCCCCATGGGGGTTGGTGTCACGGGTGGTGGGTGCTTGCCCCTCCGATAGGAAGCCCGATGGAAAGGGGGGGATGCTTAGGCAGGGGTACAGGATATGAAGAGCCCCTTTGCTTGTCTCACATCTGTTGCCCAGTGGGCAGCACAATGACCCAAGGCATGGGAAATCAGCTGCAAAAAGCAGTGAGGATGGGAAAAGCACAAAAATAAATGTACTTCGTTATCAGATGTATTTCCTAAACACGGCTGAGTGTCGCGACGGGAAAAGAAATGCCCGACAAACACCAGGCACCCCAAGCAACCGAAGTGCTGCCAAGGTCTTTGCTTCTTGCCCTGCCACAAAGCTGCCTGGGAGCAGAGCCTAGGGGGAGCAGGCTGTCCCTGGCTTTTTTCCCCTTTTTCTACCCCCAGCAGAGCAGCAGTCTGAGTCTGTGAGACTTTACAGACGTTCAGAAAACTCCCCTTTAACTCAGCAGGGTTTTTTCAGGCAGTTTTGCTCTGCTGGACAACGAACCCCTGGCATCAGGGCAGCTGCTCACTGACGCTGCAGTCCCTGCTGTAAACACCACCTGCCTTGCAGCAACGTAGGTATCAGCTTAACCCCTATGTGACGGCCAAAAATGGGATGGAGGAGCATCGACGTGCTGGTGACATCACAGCAGGCAGCTGTGGCAGCTCACCTAAAGCTGGGTCAGACCAGGGAAAGTGCTCAGCTGAAAACCAGGGGCACCAGGATCGGTGCCTTTGCTCTGCCACAGCCCCCCCCCCTCCCCGGGTGCCTGGGGACAGTTGCTGGGTTTGGCCCTCTGCAATCACGAGACCAACAAGCAAATATGGCAATATTGACTTTACCTTTGTGTGCTCACACTTTAATCTGCAGCCCTTGAGGCTGCAGGCTTGGAAAAAAATATTTGTATCTCCAAAATCTGGAGCTTCTGCTGAGAACCAGCGGCAGATGAGACCCCGCTGCTTCCACAAGGCATCCTGGGGGTGAGGAGCAGCCAAGGGGGTTTGCCAGGGCATGGGAAGACCCCGGAGCAGTACTTGCTGGCACAAGCCAGTGCCACAAGCCGCCCTTCCCAGCTCACCAGCCAGGCAGCACACCTCATCTTGTCTTACTCAGGATCTCTTTTTTTAATTTATTTTCTTGTGTTTTGTGAAGTTTAAAGGCTGTCACGTGCCTCCTGCGATACAGAACCACATGCATGCAGGTGCAGCCCCCCCCTCCAGCAGCACCAGCAGTTTGCTGCCCGGCTGGAATTCACGTCAGATCAGTCATGCGGCGATGACATGCTGCCATGGACATGGAGGTCACCCGCAGGGTGCTGGCAGCCTCAGGGGTCCAAACAGAGTGCCCAAGGCTGCTGGCTCTGCACCGCCGTTCCCTTTGGATGTACACACTTACACAGGGGGAGCAGAGGTCCCACTGCCGCACTGGCCCCTCCTAGGGACAGGGGCCACGCAGACCCTCTGCCCCCAGGACAAGGACCTGCCTGGAGACACTTCTCCCTACCAGAAGCAAGGAGCGAAGCTGGAAGTGAAGCGACCCTGGATGCCTCTGCAGCGCAGACAAAAAGCAGAGCAACCACTTCCCCTCCGACTGCTCCCAGGCCCAGGCAGCGGGGAGCTGCCCGAACACCCAGCTTTGCCCCGCGCCCCTGCCTGCACGGGACACCGGCAGTACAAAGTCACCGCTCTGTGGTCACGGTCACACAGCCCCCAGCTGCCATCGGGGCTGCAGTGCCTGGTGCACGCAGGGACTGTTCCGTATCTCATGCTGGGGCTGAAAGCAGACTGGAGCAGGAAGATCTGGCATCTTTAAATAAACATCTGCCAGGGTTTTGTTTGCCTCCAGCAGGAACAGGGACCTTGCACCCCTTGCGTGCAGGTACCTGCAGGCTCTTGTTTTCTCAGTGCTTTATCAAGCAGCACTCCCCAGCTATCAGGCTGATCACAGATGGCCCAAACAGCCAAGTTGACTAATTCAAGCCAAAAATCAACCAAAACACCACTTAGGGCAGTACAACACATGGGCCAGCTGGGCTCCAGGGCTGCCCAGCCCAGCGTGCCCCCTGAGCTCCCATCTGCGCCACAAGCTCCAGCCTGACATCGGCCCCATGAAACGCAAGCCCTAAGCAAGCCTTATCTCTCCCTTCATTATGGAGGGCTCATTCTGCACCCAAATCCTTCCCCAAGCCCTGACCAGACTCAGCTCAGCCCAGGCATTCACTCCTAAGCCACGAAGCAC